TCAGCTCATTGCAACCTCTGCCTCCTGAGTTCAGGCAATTCTTGTGCCTCAGCCTCCCAAGTAGCTGGGACTACAGGCGCGTGCTGCCATGCCTGGCTAATTTTTGTATTTTCAGTAGAAGCAAGGTTTAGCATGTTGGCTGGGCTGGTCTCAAACTCCTGACTTCAAGTGATCTGACTTGCCTCGGCCTCCGACAGTGCTGGGACTGCAGGTGTGAGCCACCATGCCCATCCCCTTTTGCTGTTTTATATCAAGCTAAAATGAGTAGAATAGAACTACTACAGCATAACATTATTTTTTTAAAAAAGAATACTCTAGTCTTTTTTTTTTTAATAGAGGTACAGTCTCACTGTATTGCCCAGGCTGATCTCTAACCCCAGACCACAAGTAGTCCTTCCACCTCAGCCTCACAAATAGCTGGGATTTTAGGTGTGAGTCACTGTACCCAGCTCTTAATCTAGTCTTTGCCTATAATACTCATAGGTCTGAACTCACCCTCAAATCTGTTGTCTTCTAGTGCTAGAAGATAGATTTCTTTATTCATGACTCTGATTACAGAAAAGAACACATTATCAGGACATTGTGAGTCAGATGCTAGAGATTTAAAACTTTTCAAAAACCTTTTATCACATAAAACAGCCTAATATAACCACACTTCTGTCCAAGTAAATAGAATGGCCTCTTTTCAATCAAACACTGAGTACTTGCTGAGAAGCTACTCTTAACACTCTTACCAAATTTACCCAGAGCTTTGGTAACCTGACAATTAATACACAGCAGGCCTCCACCCTATTTGCAATAATAGACAGCCTGTTCCATTACATCGTAACAAGCCCTAATTTATTTTAATATTTAGCCTACATATTCTGAATGTTTCTAAATCCCATGCACACTTAGGAACTTGATCAATCGTTCTCATCATTTATTATCAATTGCATACTCAGTACACAATGTGTGTGAAGCTAGTCAGTACCACACCTCAGACCATAGAGTTAAGTGATTCAATCAAATGAGTGATTTATTCTCTTCGAATAGTGAGTCAGATACAAATTGGTATTTAAATTCAGGTCTCCTGTTGCTCAAGATTTCTTAGATCAAGGGTCAGTAGCCTTTTTCAAACAGTTTGCCAACTGTATATTTATTCATTCACTCCAAAGAGGGAGTTATTTAGCCTGAAGAATAGTCAGGAAGCATTGCAGTCCAAGATTGAAGAAAAGAAACTTCTAATTTGGGAGGCAGTCAGGTGACACTTGAGGAATAATATTAAGAGCTCTCTCTCCCTCTTCACTTCTCCATTCTTCTAATATTTACTAAGGGAAAACTTATTATCTTCAAGATTTCCCCCAACTCCTAATAAGCAAATACCTCTGAGAAATTACCACACCTAAAATTCCTATCTGCTTATTTAATGGACACAGACAATCTGGAGAAGACAAGAAGAGATTGTCTTTCATGGGGAAGACTGAAAAGTATTGAAAAACCAAAATAAAAACCCTAGCCTCTCTCACTTTGTTGGCAGAAGGCTTTAGTATTCATGAATTTCTTTACTACCCCAAGCACAGTACTTACTGAAATCATATTGGGGTCCCTAATCTAACAGCAACATATTTCATGTCAAAGTCTGTAGAGTAACCCAGAAGTTGCAATATGTTTTTCTTAAAACACCCGACTCAAGAAACATAATCTTTTAATATTTTCTAGTTTCTACTTTCCTTTTATCAGGTAGATACTACTTTGGAGCACAAAGAATGTGATACTGATATTCATTGTCATACATCTGTTCTTCAAAACCGTGGGAAACATGTACATGCATATACATGTGCACACACTGATATGGTTTGGCTATGTCCCCGCCCAAATCTCATCTCAATTTGTAATCCCCACATGTTGAGGGAGGGACCTGTAATTCCTACATGTTGAGGGAGGGAGGTGATTGGATCATGGGGGTGGTTTCCCCCATACTGTTCTCATGATAGTGAGTGAGTTCTCATGAGATCGTATAGTTTTATAAGTGTTTGGAAGTTCCTCCTTCGTTCGTCCCTTTCCTTCTGCTTCGTGATGAAGGTGCCTATTTCCCCTTCCACCATGGTTGTAAGTTTCCTGAGGCCTCCCCAACCATGCAGAACTGTGAGTCAATTAAACCTCCTTTGCTTATAAATTACCCAGTCCCGGGTAGTATATTTATAGTGGTGTGAAAACAGACTAACACACCTTCCTCCTTTCCCTGACATTATTATTGTGCCAATTTCATTTGCAATTCAAGTTAAAATGTGATAAAGATGAAAAGCAAAGAAACTTAGAACTTAGGTTCATTACTTCAAGGCATAGTAAGAACATGTATCCAAGCACTTTTGCTGTGCTTAATAATCCCAGGGTCTTTTCTATTCTCAGAAAACTTTTACATATCAAAAACCTGGATAGTTTGTCCCATACTTATAAAAGTAGTTGTTCCTCCTCCTCCTCCTCTTCCTCCTCCTCCTTCCTCCTTTTTCCTCCTTTTTCCTTCTTCCTCTTGTTCTTCTTGAGACAGGGTCTCACTCTGTTGCCCAGGCTGGAGTATAGTGACATGATCATAGCTCACTGCAGCCTTAACCTCCTGGGCTCAAGTAATCCTCTTGCCTCAGCCTCTTGAGTAACTGGGACTACAGGCTGGCCTCACCATGCCCAGATAATTTTTTTTTTTTTTTTTGGAAACACAGAGGCCTCCTTATGTTGCCTAAGCTGGTCTTAAACTCCTGGGCTCAAACAGTTCTCCTGCCTCAGCTTTCCAAAGTAATGGGATTACAGGTGAGCCACATCATCCAGTCATATTTGTAAAAACTCTTAAGATTAGCCTGGCACAGTGGCAGATGCCTATAATCTCAGCTACTCAGGAGCCTGAGGCAGGAGGATCATTTGAGCCCACAAGTTTGGAGCCAGCCTGGGCAACATAGCAAGACTCCATCTTTAAAAAAAGTCTTAATATTATTGGATTAAGATGTAAGAACACATTCCGGAGCAAATTAAATAGTAAATTAATGTGTACATATATTCCACATTTTAGCTATGTTAAGCTTAAAAAAAATTTTTTTTCTCCTGGCTTTAAGTCTCCATTGCCTTTCCATTACCCTTAGGATAAAGTTTCCAACCCTTAGGATGACCTGTGTTCTGGTCTCTGCCTGCCTTTTCACTGACATCCCTCCCTACCCCCTGGTATCACCACTCTAGTTATAGTGACCTTCTGTTAAGTCCTTGAATAGGCAGTGTTCCTTTCTTCTCAGAGCCTTTACATAAGTTTTTCCCTCTATCTAGGTAATTCTTCTCCACAGACAACTCCTCTGTCTTCCTATGCTTCAAGCCTAAACCTTGAACTTCTTTGAATAAGCTTTGTCTACTCCCCAGCCCCCAAACATCAGGCTAAGTTGGCCAAACTGATTAGATGTTCCCATAGCACTCTTCCCTTCTTTTTCATGCCATTTGTAAATCTTTTATATTTGTAAATCATTGTTTAATGTCTTTTACCTCCAATTGTAAGCTCTGTAATAGTAGATGCTGTGCCTATTTTGCTTACTCTTGTATTATCACTCCCCTTGCAGAACACCAGATACAAGGAATGTTCAATAAATGTTCATTAAGTCAAGGAATTAAAAAAAAAAAAACCAAATTAATAGAAATTTGGAAGCTGGGCACAGTGGCTCACACATGTAATCTTGGCACTTTGGGAGGCTGAGGTGGAGGATTGTTTGAGCCCAGGAGTTTGAGACCAGCCTGGGCAATATAGTGAGAGCCCCTATCTCTAAAAAAAAAAAAAAAAAAACTATCTGGACCATGTGTTCTTTAGAAGTAATCCCAAAGCAGTAAGAAAAGAATTTTATTGGGCCTTCAACTAATCTGGGTAATTGAAATTGCTATTACATTTAACAAGATTAAAGTTTTAATTAAGTGAAATATTTAAGCAATGAGTAAAGGGCATACTTGTAAGATGAAGGATAATGCATCAGTTATCTCACAACAAAGTCTCAGACTTCAATGAAGGAAAGAAAGGCTTCAATATCCAAATTATTTGTATTTAACTTTATATTTTTAAATTTGAGATTAGGTAAAGCAATTAATTCTTTCATTATGTGGCAGGAGAGGGTACTAGGGAAGGATGGCAAAAGAGAAGAGAAGCTATCAGCCTCTCTTAATATTCTTATTAAGAATATAATGCAGAAAATTACCTTTACAATTTCAGAAAGAAAATTGGATCAAGGTGTAGAATGGAAAGCTCAGTGGTCCCTATTTCTCACCAGAAAAGTGTTTATAAATTCTAGCATTATTATTGTTAAGTTTTTTGCCTGTAATGGGATAGGGCTAAATAAACTGTATGTAGGATTTTAAGGAAAGGGATATA